GCCTGTACCCAGTGCTTGTATAAATAAATAAATAAATAAATCTTTAAAAAAAAAATTGACCCTTCAAAAAAAAAAAAAAACTGAAAGTAAAAGGACGGAAAAAAATTCTACAAGCAAATGGACCAAAAAAGAAGGCAGGAATAGCTATACTTATATCAGATTAAAAAGAGATTTCAAACTCAAAAAGGTAAAAAGACAACCCGACAGTCACTACATTATAATCAAGGGGACAATATTTCAAGAAGAAATAACATTCATTATCATATACTCACCAAATAAAGGAGCACAAAAATATATCAGACAACTATTATCATCTGAAAACAGACATCAGAGAAAATACATATGTATTAAGAGACTTCAACACACCACTATCAACAATGGATAGATGAAAGAGACAAAAAGCAGTAAGGACACTAAAGTTTTAAATAAGGATCTAGAGCTCATGGGCTTAACAGACATCTAAAGAACATTAAGGCCCAAAAAATATGAGTGCACATTTTTCTCAAGTGCACACAGATCATTCTCCAGGACTGATCACATACTGGGACACAAGACAAACATCAACAGATACACCAAGACTGAAATAATACCAACCATCTTCTCTGAGCATGAAGGCATCAAACTAGAAATAAACCATAAAAAGAAGGCAAGATACTCTCCTACCTCATGGAGATTGAAACCCACACTATTGGAAGACCACTGGATTAATGAGGCGGTCAAAGAAGAAATTAAAAATTACTTTGAATTGAATGACAAGAAGGACACTAATTTCCTAAATGTATGGGATGCAGCAAAAGCAGTAATAAGAGGTAAATACATAGCAATGCAGGCTCATATTAAGAAACAATAAAGAACTCAAAGGAACAACGTAATCTCGAAGCTCAAAGAACTAGAAAAAGAAGAACAACAAAACCCTAAAACAAGTAGAAGAAAAGAAATGATAAAAATCAAAGCAGAAATAAAAGAAAACAAAACTAAATAAATAATCCAAAAGATAAATGAAACCAAAAGTTGGTTCTTAGGGCCTCCCCAGTGGCGCAGTGGTTGAGCGCTGGGCTGCGAGACTACCCGCAGCCTCTACAGCACCAGTTTGATCCCCGGCTGCTCCCCAGCCACCAGAGGAGGGTCCCACATGGTGCGCACACCTCTCCTGCCATCCCCTGCCCCTGTCAGCAGCATACTTCTGTCCTTCTGCCTGCTCTGCTCCCTGCTCTGGCTCTGGTGAATTCTCTCATCCTCCCGCGCATCTGACTGTACCCAGTGCTTGTATAAATACATAAAAATAAATCCTAAAACAAACAAACAAACAAACAAAAGTCGGTTCCTCAAAAAAAAAAAAAAAAATAGACAAACCTCTACCCAGGCTCACAAAGGAAAAATGGGAGAAAGCACAAATAAATAAGATCATAAATGAAAGAGGAGAAATCACAACGGACACAGCAGAAATCAAAAGAATAATCAGAAACTAGTATGAACAGTTATATGAAGAAGAAAAAATCAAGAAAACCATCCCTTTTATTATTGAAACAAAAAAATCAAATACTTGGGAATAAACTTATCAAAAGACGTAAAGTACCTATGCAAAGAAAACTATAAAACACTATTTAAACAAATAGAAGAAAACACAAAGAAATGAAAAGACATACCCTTCTCCTGGGTTTTAAGAATTAACATCAAAATGGCCATCCTATCATAAGCAATTTACAGAATCAATGCCATTCCAATAAAAATTTCAATGACATTCTTCAAAGAAATAGAGCAAATATTTATGAAATTCATATGGAGAGAGACACCAAAACCCCCGAATAGCCAAAGCTCTCCTGAAAAAAAAAAGAAGGCATCACACGCCCAAACTTCAGACTACAAAGCCATACTACTTCATACTACAAAGCCATAATAATCAAAACTGCATGGTATTGAAATAAGTCAGACACATAGAGCAATGGAACCGAATAGAAAATCCAGAAATAAACCTACAGATTTACGGTCAACTAATCTTTGACAAAGGAGCAAAGGATATGCACTAGAGCAAAGAAAGTTTGTTCAATAAATGGTGCTGGGAAAACTGGGTTGCCACATGCAAAAGAATGAAGCTTGACCACTACCTCACACTGGTACAAAAACCAACTCAAAATGGATTAAAGAACTGGGCATGAGACCTGAAACTATAAAATACATAGAAGGAAATACAGGGGAAACACTACATGACATGTACCTCAAAGACATCTTTACAGATACATCACCCAAAGCAGTGATAGTGAAGGCAAAGACAAACAGCTGGGACTACGCAAATTAAAGAGCTTCAGCACAACAAAAGAGACAGCAACCAAAACAAAGACACATCCCACCAATTGGGAGAAAATTTTTATACACAACACTAACAATAAAGGACTGATGACAAAAATCTGCAAAGAGTTGATGAGACTCTGCAAAAACAAAGTAAATAATCCAATCATAAAATGGGCAGAAGAGCTAAAAAGAAACTTCTCCAAATAGGAAATGCAAATGGCCAACAGGCATATGAAAAAATATTCAACATCACTGGTGATCAGGGAAATGCAAGTGAAAACTACAATGAGATACCATGTTACACCAGTGAGAATGGCACATATTTATAAAAATAGCAACAACAAATGTTGGTGAGAGTGTGGAGAAAAAGGAACTCTCCTGCACTGTTGGTGGGAGTGCAAACTGGTCCAACCACTATGGAGAGCTGTGTGGAGATTTCTGGACCTACTAAACATAGAGCTTCCATATGATCCAGCAATTCCACTCCTAGGTATTTACCCAAAGGACACAGAAACATCAATTCCAAAGAGCACCTGCACACCTATGTTTATAGCAGCACTGTTTACAATAGCTAAGCTTTGGAAATAGCCCAAATGCCCCAAAATAGATGACAGGATCAAGAAGATGTGCTACATATACACCATGGAATATTACTCAGCAATCCAAAAAGAATAACTCATGCAATTTGCAACAACAAATGGATGGAGCTGGAAGGGATCATATTCAGTGAAATAAGACAGAAAGAAAAAGAAAAATACTGGATGATCTCACTCATAGCAGGAATTTAGAAAACCTAAAACCTAAATAAGGGAACAGGAAAAAGACTATACTAAAGAAAAAATCAAAATCAACAAGCAACTATAAACTAGAGACACATTGAGGGTAGGGGAGAAGATGAAGGATTAGGTCAAAATAAGAGGGGTGGAACTGTATGGGGAATATAATGAGAATGAAAATGCATACATTGTGCTAAAATGAAAATGATGTAAGAATTATATAAAATAAAATATATTAATTTAAAAAAAACTCAGTGATCACTAAACTATTAGGGCAGTGTCCTTGGCCCTGTATCAAATCTACAGAAATCCACTGCTGAGGGTAGCAGCAGGCAAGACTGGAGAGTTCAGCTGCACCATGTAGATCAACTCCCTGGACTGCAATAGAACTGGTTCTGCATGTCTGGTGAGAGTTTGATAGCGCTTAGACTTTAGCGCTAATCATGGTGGAGGTCTTCTTCCCATGTTTTGTACCTTGTTTCTAACAAGCAGTCTTACCTAACTAAATTTAGAACTATTGATAATTAATTTAAAAAGTCTAAGAATCTGAAAGAGATAAAGAAAAACTTTGCATTTAAATTTCCTTTAAGTTCTATTTATTTCTTTTTGGGTTTTGATTGCCTTATGATTTTTTTTAATTCCAGGGAATTGGGCAATACAATCACAAGAGGTGAAAGAGAAATTTTAATTGGAACTGTGTGCACTGAATGAAGAGGAGGCAGACTCAGTTTTTAAAAGGAGGAATGGCTTCGAAAGCAAGTTATAGTAATGTCCAAGTTAATAGGTAGTCTGTGGCAACATTTTTTTGTCCCTTGTTAAGTGTACCTTGGAGTCTTTCTGTGTTATAGCTCTTTTGTGAATCAATTTTAATTTCAGGACTTTGAAAATTAGATACATACTTGTGCAGGTCATCCTTTTTTCTTTCTTCCCCTGCTTTTTTCTGGAAGCAGCAATGATTAGTATAAGGGTGAGTTCTTTAGATTTTTTTTTTTTTTTTGTGACTGCAAACTGTGGAAAGTGGATGTGAGTAGAAGAGTTCAAGAAATTAGAAGTTGTATGTAATGTTGTGAAAATGGAACACATGACGTGTGTTAATGCAGTTTAGTGGGTTCCCTTAAGTTCATAAATGGTCAGGGTTTCCCTACATGAAAGCAGGTAGTGGTAAGATTATTTGTTCTTTTGAATATAAGAAGGCACCATGGAAAGAAGTGTTGCTACATTTAAAAACAAAAAAACAGAGGTGTGCTCTGTTATTGTGAATATTGTTGTGTGTGTTCAGTGTATATCATTTAAGTGGTTGAATATAAATGGCATTAGAGAAAGTTTTATAACAAAATAATTTGATGTTTGGATTTGTTATCGCATTTTTTAAAAATAGGAGTTAAGCACCCTCAGCGAGGCAAGAAAAAGATATGCATATTTATTATGGTATGTAGTTGAAAGTGCACTCAATTTTGTGACTAGTAGTGAAGTAGATGGGTTGTCCTGTGAGGTACTTATCAACCAAGGATGTTTTGCATTCTATTTGTAGGAAAGTGTAACAAAGATTTAACTGTTAGTTATTGTGGATGTGAAAGAGTAGAATTATTTTATGATTTGGGGAAAAAAAACAAGCTCTTTGCTGAGAAGAAAACGGAATGAGTGCTGTTAACCTATTTCTGGTGTTTGTTGAACGTCGCCTGTGGTGTATACTAAATAAAACTGTAGGGTTTTTTTTTTGTTGTCTATGTTGATTTGATTGTTTTTAAATGGTATGGATCACTTTAAACAAGGGGAGAGACAGTGAAGGGTATCGGAGTCTTATGCGGAACATGGGAACTTTGTCTTGTACTTCCGGGTCTAGTTGTTCACCCGGTCTGTAGCCCCGCCCCCAGCACTGCTTGAGATGCGCGGGAGAAGCTTAACTCGCGTGAGTTGAACTGCGGCCCGGCACAGGTAGTACGTCGCCACCACGTACATACCACCAGCATTTTACAAGTGGAAGTTTCTATGTCACTGTTGTAACCCAAAAAGTTGTTCCTCACCAAGAGAAGCAGAAGAAAAGCTGCAAGGTCGGTAAACCATCAACCAGAAAAATTAGAAAATGAGAAATGCCTGCGAAGGGTGAGAACTTAAGGCGGAAATCCGGTCTTACCATCCCTACTCCTTCTGCTGCAATTTTTAAAAAATACGGCCAAAAATGAGCGAAACTTATAAGTAACCAGGGTATGGAGTTCTGGTGGGCAGGGTGTTGTCTGCGTAGTGCCTGTTTGGTGTTTGGGGAACCTGTGGACACTCAAGTGCTAAAAGGCCCCTCAGCGAAGGGTGTTTGGAGGTAGGGTTCAACGCGCAGCTACTCACACTCCTACTTAATCATACAAACAACCGGAAACCCTGACCAGAGGTAACTGCCACCGAGATTTACATCTTTGACTAGATAGAGGTTTTATGCTAATTGTGGTTCTCTATGGGGTTTTTAAAAGCTCAGGGATGGGCCTCCCTGCTAGCACAAGGGCTTAAGCACCGAAATCCACAGCCTCTACAGCACGAGTTCCATCCCCGGCCAGCCAGGGAGCTACCCACATGGCGCGAAAGACCTCTCCTGTGTCCCCGCTGCTCCCCTCAGTGGTATACTTTAACCTTCTCCCACAGTAAATTTTACTGCTCCCCACTGTTTCTGATGAATCCTCTCACCCTCTGCATTTCTGCCCTCCACCCCAGTGCTTGTATAAATAAAATAAATCTTAAAAAAAAAAAAAAGTAATAAAGTAAAAACCTCGGAAATTCTTACTGTGTAGCTGTTTAAGCCCTCATTAATACTTACTCAGCTTAAGCGCTGTGGGCACCTCTAACAGCCACCGTGGAAGTCTCAGTCGCCCATATCTACATGGGCATGAGGGTATTTGTGTGCTCTATGTGACGGAAGGGAGTAAAGCTAATAAACTAGGACGGCGCACCGAGCTGACGTACGCAGTTTTCTAATATCCATAAGCTTGCAAAGGGTCGAGCCACAATTCCTGGAAGCCTGGAAACGCAGGCGGCCCTCCCTTCGTGAATCATTTTCCCACACCTTTCACCCGAAGGATGACTTAACACTCTGGGCGCCAAATTCTTCTGGCAGCGACAACAGTTTGACTGCAGTAGGTATCCAAGCGTTCTACTTGAGGGTGGAGGTTACGGGGTAGCCGGGCGGGCGAAGGGAAAGCAAATAAAATGTACATTAGGCACGTTGAGACTTTGACGTTCAGAAACCTGACATGCTTTTAGCACCAAGGAAAACCAAAACTGCGTTCTTCTGTAGACACTGGATAAGAGCCGCAGCACGGGGAAATTTCGGCGAGGTGTACATGGCAATGGAGAGCCGCACTGAGGCAGGAAACGTAGAGGAAGCTACTGAGCATCCTTCCCACCCTACCTCCAGCACCGGGGAGCTGCTGGCGCTGCCAGCTAACTCCCTTACTAAAAAAAAGGGTCATCCACTCCCCAACTCGGTCCACAGTCCACCAATCTACTAGACTAACTCCAAGCTACGAGTTTGACAACAATAATCTAAAGATACGACGAGCAATTTTTAAAAAGACACAGAAACAAAACATTGAGATTAAAAATAATGTATTTAACTACAAAAAAAAAAAAGTGGCGAGGAGCTAAGCACAGTAAATTTTACCGCATTCCATGTTTCCTTGTCCTTACCGCGCTAGTTAATAGTCCCCTTTTCCCAGCATTTCTCCCTCAAACCTCCCTTCAGGACAGCAACCTTTTGCTCACTCCACTTTTCGCCTTCTCGTAACTCCCTAGAAATAGGCAGTCCCTGTTGAATATCTTGGAATATATTTAGCCTTTGGGCTGAGTGTGGGAATGAGCATAGTACGGTGCACATACTCACATCCTCCAGGTCTGACAAACACTGTCATGACTGAAAATGCAGCCCCTGGAGCAACCTTGCGTGAGCTGAGTGTTGGAAAGCTGGTGTGCGGCTTTCCTAAGGACCGGGTCATCGCGATGTTGACTAATTTGCAGGAGAGAATCTGGTTGTAATCTTGGACTGCTGCCACATGTGAAGAGGACAGAGGGTTTTCTGCTTTCTTTTTATTCTGTGGGGAGAACTCTAAAAACAGTGCAGCACCCTTCCTTGCTTTTTGGTAGGCTACTGCTTCCAGCTGGCAGAGACCAGCAGGATATTCCTCCTTATACCCCAGCATTCACTGTGTAAATTTCCAGGCAAGATCCTCACTGTTCCAAAATGTGAATGAATTTACACACACACACTCCACGTTCTCCCCACCCCACCAAGTACTAGGAAACAACACACAAGGAGGTTAGTACTAGGGTGGTTCTCCTGTGGATTACAGCTATATATAAGTATTCTTTTAAGGTTGTATCCTCTGGCATTGCTGGTTTGCTAGTTTATTTGTATGTCTGTTTCAGATACTAGCCCCAGGTGGCGGTAGAAGTGTGTGGTTCAGAAAAAAGAGCAGGACTTGGGGTGGGGAAAGTGGTGTCTGGGCAGTGAGCAGCAGAGACCATCGTTATTGTAGCAGATAACTGTCTTGGGCTCACTAATGTAGTTCCTTTACTATCTTGTAGGCCAGGGAATTAGCCTTGTAGGTACGACTTAAGATATTATTGATGACCATTTTTCTCAAATGTCTGCTATCCCCAACTAGTGCATGAGCACCTTCGTTAGTCTGTCAGCCCAGGAAGGATGGCTTTTGAGGAATGGCTAAGGTCAAAGTTGGAATGGAGCAGAGTTATTAAATAGTAATTAAAATTGAGGACTGTATTTGAAAACAAACTTTAAAAATAAATAAACACACTTTAAATCGATATTTTCAGAGAGTACCAATGTATATTTTGAGATTAGACTAAGGGTGGATTATCTTTATTTCATTCTAGAAAAAGCTTGTAAAAGTGAAAATAAAGAAATAACTTCACCCAGAAGGTGTGACGTATGGCCAACACAGACAAATTTCAATATATTGGACATATGACACTCAAGAGTCTGAAAATGATGCTGTGTGTGTTTGATTATATTACTAACAAAATTCAGTATTTGGAAGCATTGTTAATGTTCCATTATGAAATAGTGATTTTCAGAATTTGAGGTTTGAATGATACTGTGTTTTACCATGCTTTTTTCTATGGTTAGCTGCATTTCCAAGTGTGTGTGCTCTTTATTTTGGACACGTAACAAGGTAGAAAAAAGTTGAAGAAATGTATAATTACTGCATAGTCCAGATTCAACCTGAGGGTTGTCTGCGTGTTGTAAGCTGCTTTTTCACATATTGGCAGAGCCTGACATGGAAAGGGGATCCTGAGGGCTTTCAGTGCTATTTGAGAACTGATTAATGTATTCTTAATAGCTGATCTTGAGATCAGTGCATTCTGCAGTTTAGTGGGGATTCACTATGACTTTTAGGTTGGGAGTCGAATATTTGCCTGCTCATTACCTGTGCCTAGTGCCCCACATACTCTGCTGAGAAGAGTGGGGCTATGAAGTGAAGGGCTGTTGCCTTTTGGCATCAGTAAGGCTACTGAACTTTGCCTTTGGTACTTTGCAAAGTCACTGCCATGTAGAAAGAGTTGAGTCTTTTAGATGATGAATCTCTGGTTCTCTGGTTCTCTTTATTCATTGCCATTTCCTTAGTTAAATTCATGTTCTCTAAGCATGATGCCTGTGGTGCCTACCTTAGTTGGGAGTTAGACAAGGTTTTTGGTTTTGCTTTTCTCTTTAAGGAATTCCTAGAATACAGAGATTTAGGCTGTGCACCATCAGTCAAACTGCCTGTAGCCAGAGGAACAAGGAGAGACCACTGACTGAGCTGGAGTAGCTTTTGTCCAACTTAGACACACACCCCTTTTGTGAGGCTCAGAACATTGAGAGTAGTAGGGCCTATGGACATTCTCCAGGACTTCAAAGTTATGTTGGTGTGGTTAAGATAGATCTGTCTTGATAGAATGAAAACTCTATCCTGATAGAAGAAAGGCGAGAGAAGGAAGATGGAAGGTGAAAGAAAGATACAGAGGTGCTTTCAGTTTTGATTGCAGATTAGCTAACCTTTGAGATCTCATGAAGATAAGTGGAAGGGAAGGGATTAGGGGCATCTTTCCTCAAAGTCCTCTAATGTAATGGACTAGTTAAGGAACAATGGACAAGTTTATGGACAAGTTAAGGAATTCTCTCAGGAGGGCAAGACAATTCACCAAAGTCCAAGCACAGAACAGAACAGAGTGACGAAATACACTGCTGAGGGGAGCAGCGGGCGGTAGAAGAGGTCTGCGTGCCATGTGGGACCCTCGCCCTGGGGCCAGGGATCCAACCAGTGCTGCAGAGGCTGCGGGCAGTTTGGCAGCCCAGCAGTCAACCGCTGCACCACCAGGGGAGGCCCAAGAACCTACTCTTTTCCTTTCTTTTATGCTCAGATTATGGTGTATCCAGGTTTATTCTTTGACAAGGAAAAACTAGAGGATCTAGTTTGACTAGATTAATGTTAAACCATATTGTTGTATAAGAAGCTCTTATTAGGGCCCTCTGTGTCAACAGAATTCCTTAGTCCAATTTTTTCAGGAGAACCTAACCCCAACATTCAGGTCAGTGTGTATTGGTAGACATTGGAGAGAGCATAAGAGTCCTTCAGTATAGTTGGTGTAAATTTAACATATCTTTAACCATGACTTTCTGGGGAGACAGAATAGGAGTTGAAGATTGGTGACTGGGTACTTTGAAATGAAAAATGTTTTGTTCTAAAAACAATATTCTGGTACAGATATTTGACATTACTGAGTGGATTACATTTTATAGATCCTAGAAATAAAATCTCTTTTGCCTTTGCAGACCCATGTTGTTCTAACTTGGAAATGTAACATATATATTAGAGAGAAAAGCAAAAAAAACAAAACAAAAACAAAAACAGTAAGGACTTAGGGAGGGAACTGCATATGCTAGGAATATTCAGATCAAGAAAACAATCTGATTAATATGTGCTCAAATTAAGACATTTGTACTCATACATTCATATATAACTAGAGGAAACTAGCCAACTGACCAGCATAAACACCAGAGCTATAAATT